AGACTCTGCACAGGAAAGGTGCATCACATTCAGTTTGTTGTGTTTTTTTGTGTGTGAGCAGCAGCAGATTTGTTTTTTAGCAGCATACCTGGATTTTAACCGCTATGACCACAGAAATCAGCTCTTTGTCGAGTTCCCTCAACACCACCAGCTTCTTCAGCGTCAGGCTGCACAATCTGCAGAGACACGGGGGGAGGAAGCAGAGGAAACATGTTGAGTCTCGCGCCGCCGTGTTTCTTTTTAATATGCACAAACAGATGAGTGACTCACAACAAGCACCGGCTGCATGTTTTCATTAAACAGTCACAAGTAAGCAGACGAACAGTTTACGAGTCGACAAGGAAACACGGCGGCTCGGTGGCATCTGCAGGAAATCAACAGGTCTGACGGTGTCATGTTTTACATTTGAATATGAATCTGACGCTCGTGTTCTGAGCAGTTTACAGTGAACCAGCAGACGGAAGTCATTGTTTATCTGCTACACTGGCTTTGTTGATGCTAGTAAAGAGCCCTTATGATGCTTTTTGGATTGTTTACTTCTATTTTAGCTTTTATATGCTTGTAAAAAGTCTGCAAACTTACAAACGTCCACATTCAGCCTGCTGCCAAGTTGCTAGTTTGACGTAAATACATAAATAAAGCAACGACGAACCCAATGTAGCAAAGCAGGAATTAAAGTTAATGTATGGATTTGAAGAAATGCATTGAAGACGTTGTTGTAATTATGAACTTTTTCTTCAAAATGTTATTGTACTGCATTCAGTTAGGTATTTAATTATTTATCTCTGCATTTATTATTTACATTTTCAGCATTTTTTGTCCTCCATATAGAGCTGACCAATACTGAAAGAAACAGAACTAGCCTAAATATAAATAAATATAAACATATTAATGTATGGAAATGTAGGAACAAATTTAATACACTGATTTAATTCTGCATTTTTTATTACCAAGATGTTGTTTGTTTGTTTGTTTTTAAATTGTCTTAATTATTAATATTTTTGTCATTTTGGGTCCTCCATACAGAGCTGACTAAACCTGCTTTATTATGAAATTCTGATGGCAGATCCAATTAAAATATACAACCAGAAATACAGAAGAAGAAAAAAAAAAAGATAATGTATGGGAATGTGGGAATAAATTCAACACACTGATTAGAGTTTGTATTTTTTCATTACCAAGATCTTCTATTTTTCTTCCTGTTTATCTAGATTTTTGTCACTTTTGGTCTTCCCTACAGAGCTGACCAAATCCGCTTTAGTCTTAAGTTAAGACAACAGACTCAATTAACATTTTTTGTAATTATTTTTATTTTTTTTTTAATTATCAATAAGCTTTATTTATTTTCTTCATATTTATTTATTTATATTTCTATCACTTTTGGTCTTCCATACAGAGCTAAATCTGCTTTAGTATTACGTTAGGACGACAGATTTAATTAGCATTTTTTAGTATTTTTTTAAAAATTATTAAACCTTTACCCTTTCTTTAATCTATTTTTTATTTTCTTCGTATTTATTCATTTATATTTTTGTCACTTTCGGTCTTCCATACCCAGCTCATCAAATCGGCTTCAATCTGAAGATGGAACGACAGACTCAGTCAACACATTATTAAACATTATTTTACTATTTTAACTATCAAGACGGGCTTTTTCTCCTTCGTATGTATTTATTTATACTTGTGTCACTGTTGGCCTTCCATACGCAGCTCACTAAATCTGCTGTATTCTGAGGTTAACACAGAAATGAGGATATAGACACAGAAATTGTGAAATACATCAGGAAAAACAGAACTAGTCCAAATAAAGGCTCATGATTGGAAACGCACGTAGAAATACTAACAAACCGAGACGGTGCCCTTGAATACTGATTGATTGGTTTCTGTTTCCAGCGTTGGTTGGGGTCAAACATGCGACCTTTGGGTTGTGAAGCAGCCAGCCGGTCGCCATCCTGCTTTCGCAACCTCGTCTAGGAAATGTTTTCTGACGTCTGAGATCCTAAAAACTGGTCACTTCACTGATGATGGATGAACTGGCCGCAGATCACAGGGAAGCCGCTGCTCTTGTTAGTCCAACTTAATGCGAACTGCGGGCGTCGCAGCAGGCAGAACTAAATCCTCCCTGACTTGGCATCGGCCCGGGTCTGAAGCAGCCGAGCAGAATAGCGACACCGAGGCAGGATGGTGGCATTGTTAAAGTGTGTGTTTGTGTGTGTGCGGCGCCTTAACAAGCCTGTCACAGCTTTTCTGAGACGCTTCCTCACAAGATGGGTTGAAGGAGCTTTTCTTTGGAGGCGCTCTTTGGCTCCTTTGGCTCGATCTGGAGGCCAACCATTTATCATCTCCCTTTTCTTTTCAAACAGCAAAATTAAACAAGTTGGAATGACATCACCGCTGAATTATTCTGCTGCACAACAACGCGGCGCTGAATGAGCAGCAGAAGTGGCCATTCATCGAGGTTTATTGTCATACAGGGGGGTAAGAGATGTGGGTCAGGAGGGAGAAATGTGCTGAAAGGAAGCCAGAGGACATTCATACGCCAAAAACCATCTCTGGTGCCGTTCGGAGCGAAGACTGAGCGGTTGACCTTGCTTGTAATCCAACTCCTCCTCGATTCTCCTATTTTGAGCGCAGGAAATGGATAGGTGAGGCGGCGAAACAAAAGAAAAAAACAGCAGCGCTATCAGTCAAGGGCTTTCAGAAGCACACCGTTAGCTGAGTGACATAATTACAGAGCAGCGTCTCTGCAGCACCGAGGTATCAATCAGGCCAGCGCTGAGCAGAGCCTGTGACAATGGCAGGTCTGAAGGAGCCCCGGCGGCCTGAATGAAGACCTTTCTCTTCTTCTTCAGCCGAGACACGACCCAAGAAATCCCAGGCACAACGGACACAAGCCAAATGAAGGCTGGCATTGTCTTCAGCCTGCTCGCACTCAGACAATACGCAGCATTCTTGCTCCTGTTTTGTATTCTACCCTGTTTCCACGGGTCCGAGCCCACAGCACCATCTATTCCAGTTATGCTAAAGGTGGCTGGATGCTGGTTCACGTAGGCGAAGACGCTCGATGGATATCTGCCACCCAGACTGCTCAACACTCACATCTGGTTCCTGGCTTTGGAGATAATAACAATAATTCTAACTTTATTTATGTAGAACTTTCAAAAAAAAAACAAGGGTTTACCAAGTGTTTTGACAAGAAAAACAAAAGCAGCAAAAACCAGAAGGCAAAAGAACGACAGGCAGAAACAGACGGTGGAAGCAAACAAAAAAATAAGAATCTGCCAGGAAAGATGGTAAAAACTGAAGCACTGGAAAGTTCAAAAACTGTAAAAATGGTGAAAATAAGGGAAAATTTCTGTAAAACAATATATATATATTGAAACTGTGTTTTAAAGTGGGCATTCTGGACATTTTTAACATTTTTTTTAAATTTTACAGTCAATGTGTAAATTAATATTTTTCTGTGATATCCCTAGATATTATCTTTATTTTTGAAGGAAAAATAAAAGTTTAAATATGTTCCATATTTCAAAACTTTATATTAACATTTTTCCTTTCCAATAACTGCAAATATCTTTTTTTTGGCTGCTTTCAATAAAACTAACTACATTAAGTAAAAATAAATTAAACTTAATTTACACTTTTAACCTTTTTTTTGTCCATTAACATCCACATTAATACTTTGTTGATGTGATTTTACCAGTTATTATCAGCATCTAACAAAACAGAAAAAATAAGTAAACCTAAAAAAATAACCATAAATTGTTTTGGTGAAGATCTGGCAGCAGCGGTGCCAGAAAGAAAAAAAATAAAAAATAAAAAAACAGTGGAATGATGTAAAGCTCAAAGACTGAAACTAAAAATAATTATATTATATAATTATATTTTAATTATATTTTTTTTGCTTTTTTATTTTTAACTATTATATATATATATATATATAATTATATAATAATATATAACTATAACTATTTTTAACTCATTTAAACAAAGTAAAACTCTGTATATTTTACTGTCACACATTGTAGAATAACTTCCTGTATGCAAGAATACGATTTTTGATGTTATTTGCTTTCTTGGCCTGTTTTTGTTTGTTTGTTTGAGTTGTTGTTGTTGTTGTTGTTATAGCCAACACAGAAATAATTTTTCGCTGTGATGTTTTACTAGAAATGAGATTTAATTTAACAAAACGGGAAAAATGTTTAAAATAACACACTGTAGTTTGTTTGTTTGTTTGTTTTTTAATTACTGTAAAATCTCTCATTTTTGACAACCTTTACACCTTAAAGTAGTCAGAAAGACCTTCTGAGGACTTGACAGTGATGTTCTTTCTGCTATGCAGCTCGGCACCACACCAGAACACAACGTGCTTTAAAAGTGAATTTTTACAAATAGTAACCAGTTACCTGACAGTGTAGCTGTAACATTACAGTGTTTTGCTGTATTTAAATTCACCAAAAACATCTTTTTTTTTTTTTTACAGATATTTGCTTTTATTCTCATTATTTATGACCGTTCCTGAACAGTACGGTATTTTACTATTTGTTTTAACTCACTTTTCTTGGGTGTGAATATCTGGAGGTTATTTCCAGTGAGACGGTGCTGACGTGAGCCCGCTAACATCTGCTCCTATAAGAACACATAAAGCTCTTTATTAGCAGCACCTGGACAGCCTAATGCAACACGGTGCAACAGCTCCGCCATAAATTCTACTTTTACGAAGCGTCTACGTTTTCAATCATGAGGGCTTTAAACATGGCCGCCACCCGCTCTGACCTCAGGTGGAGTTATCGCCTCTCTGACAGACAAACCGAAAGTGTCGAAGCTTTGAGGAAGTAGAATTTATGGCGGAGCTGTTTTGTGTTTGGGCTGCACAGGTGTTTCTAATAACGCGCAGAGAGGACAGTGTTTTACTAGCTTCACGACAAGTTGGTCTTTTTGCCCAGAAATCGTTTTGGCTTCAGGAGATTCTCACCTGCTTCTGCTCAAACAGGTGAGTCAGCGTTTTGTGCAGCCAGCCGAAGAAGAAATGGGTCAAATGAGACTTTATTAGCATGTCGGTGCTGTTCCTTCAGGCTGGTTAGTTCCCAGAGTTGTGTTGTGAAGGTTAAAAGCAAAATATCACAGCTTTAAAGTCAACCGGTTCAGAGTGAAGCAGCTCAGCTTCTTCCTGGTT